AGAAGTTAGGAGGGAAACTTCTAAAAATAAAAAATTTTGTAATATTTTTTACAAGTTTTTCCTCCTCTCGAAATGAAGAACACAAGTCCTATAGACGCATGATGATTGCAGAATATTTTTTGAATATTCATGTAAGGTTGAAGATATTTTTGCCCTTAAAATATTAAGTCAAGAGCAATGGGTATTTCAATTGGCGTTGGCAATTAATTTGATGGGCCGAGATTAATTCAAGTTAGATTTATTTAGATTAAGCTTAAAATATTCCTGAACATATAAAAAACTCTATATAATCAAACTTGACTATAACACCTCATGATTATCTGAGCTAGCTCAAATATTAAAATTATTAAATATTATTTTATTTTATTTTTTAGCCAAAATTTTAGTTTTTATCTAGAAAAAATCAAAATTTTTCAAGCAACATAATGCTACCACATATCTTTTTTCTATCCTTATTAAAATGACACCAAGTATTGAATGTGTAAAGATGGAAGTATATGAAGTAACCTCTCCTATTTATTTTTCCTTAATATTTTCAAAAAATATTGAAAACAAACAATTATTAGAACATTAAAAGTTCATTTAGGAGCACAAGATATGTTAATTTGGAGTTTAGGAGAGGATTTTTGGGTACTAAGTGAAGGTTGAAGTGAAAGTTAATTTTATTTTATTAATAATAAAATTTAAATCGAGTATTTGGTTTTAGCCTTGACTCGGATTCATTCAAACTTATTTAGGCTAAATAAAAAAATTTTAAACTTTAAAATTCAACACTAAAATTTTTTAAACTTGACCTTAATTATTAACTTTACATTGGTGCAATATACTGTCTCTCGACTGTCAAAATTATTGTAATATTTTCTTTGAATTAATAGATCCATTAACATTTGATCATCAACTCTAGAAAAAAAATTCGGTTTCACTAGCACATGGCATGTTCATATGGGAAAATCTTTGGATTCAAGAGTTTTTCTTTCTGATCAAAAATATTTTCATGAAAAAGAAATTTCCATAATGTATAACAATCAATCAATCAACTATATTATACAAATCTCATGGAGTCAATGTGATGGTCAGAAAAGAATTTTCTCAACCAATTTTTAATAATCACTCATTTGTTGAAGGACTTTTACGTAGGTTAACAGTGTTCTTTCATTGGTTCACTCTAGGTCAATTAATAATACATCAAGACTTTCATGGGAGCATTCACTTACGCCATTATCTCCATTATCGTCAATGTCAGTTGCTGTTTCTGAAGTTTATACTTTCTGAAGTTTTTCATTCTTTTATTCAAAAAAGTTTTCCATTCTGTGGTTTCTATTTTGATCTTCAAGCCAACTAATCTATTAATTTATCCTTCCAAGCAGTTCTTCTCTTCGCTCTTCACCAATCGCAGTTCTTATTCCGTCATTTCCTAAACTCGTTGAGGTCGCTTATCGAGTCTATCTAGTGCTGTGTTCATTTGGTAAGGGTTCCTGAACACATCATAGTCGGTCATCGAGTCTATCTGGTGTTATGTTAGTCAACGAAGAAGATGATTGAAACCTCATAATTTTGCATGTAGATAATAAATTTTGAAGAGAGTGTGTGCTTATTTTTTAGGAACGATAATTTTGCATGCAAAAACTTTTCAATTTGATAATTGAAATTCTTCTAATTTGGGTATGACTCTAGCCGACCAGCTCTGGCTTCAAGGATACTCTATTTCCATGACTAAATAAAACTCAGGTATTTATTCATTCCTCTTTTCCTTCACTTAATTTCCCTTCCAACATTAATCAAATTCCCATTTTTAAATTCCTTAATGTCAAAATCAATCTCTTTCTTGAAATTTTTTTCCAATTGCTTATAAGTTTTCTCATGGTGTGCTCTGAATTTATTTATCTATTTACTTTTATTGTTTCATTGCAGAGGTTTTTGGCTTTATCTGGGGTGACTCTAGGGGTAATGGTTTGAATGGGGAGAGGATGCCAGAGTTGAGAAGTGGTGCTAGAAGATTGAAGCGGCTTGGTGATTTTCAGCCTCCCTTATGGCCTATTGATCAAGGTGGAAGGTGGAAGCATAGATAAGGTGCTTGAAGCAAATGCTCACAATAAAATTGTGATGGATGGTGGAAGTGTAGACAAGGTGCTTGAAGCTGAAAAGGAAGCTACCACAACCCCTATTCCCGAGAGGGTATCCCTGCATGCATATTGCTTATGTAAGTTACATTAGTTTGTTTCCTAAATTAATGATGTAAAAGTACCATTTATGATTATAAAAACTTGGAGTCATGTGCTCTTATATAAATAGACTATAGTTGTTATGTTTATGCTTTTTTGTCAAATTCACAGTTTTAACTTTTTAAGAATCTTTTGAATTTAATCAAATAATATTAATTGGATTGTTTTGGATGCTTTGAGGTTGTGCCTGTCACTTTGGTTTTAGATCATGAATAACATTGTGCCATGTTAGTTCACATTAAATTTATTCCAAACAGCATTAAGATTATGTAAAACTTGAGTTATTGCTTTGACCGAGATGTCCTTTACAAATTTGGGATCATATGTATCTTATCTATTTTTGAAACATGTCCTATTATTATAATGAAAAATGTTCTATTACATCTTTAGTTATACACTTATCCAGACTTTTAATATTCCTTTTTGTTATGTTTCATTGTCACCCATATATCATTGCAAAATCATTCAACTGGTAATTCATTAAGTAGGATTCCATTTGTACGGAGGAGGAAAATGATGTCATCATTAATTGGGAATTTTCAACTCGACATAAAAATTGATTTTTTTTAACCAACAATAATTATAATCTTAACTTATCCTATTTCTACTATTGTTTTGTATTTTCATACCGAATGTATATTATGAAGATTACCTCATAAATGAGAATGTCACCGTTTCATCACAAGAATGTGCAATTCATATATTATGTAGTAATAAGAATATTGATACTTAAATAAGCAATTTACACAGTCTGTTTCTCTCACATTTAAATTCTACAACATATAATTATACAATATTTCCTTGAAAGAAATTTGTGATAAATTTCCTGAAAATATGTTAAAAACATGAAATTGAATTAACAAATATAATTATGTTGCGTATATGTTGCACCTGGATCGTGATCTTTCTAGAAAGAAAAATTAATAAATGTAGGAGTCGCCACCAAAATTTTAAAAAGATAATTTTGAAAATCTTTAAAAAAATAAAATGGTCTACAATAATCAAAATAGGATTCGGAAGTCGGTTGTGCATGAAAAAGGTGTTAGACACCCCACATCACTTGTCCATGAGAACGATTACCCTAAATTGACTAAATAAAATTAATATGGCCTTAAATGAAATTTAATTACCCTTAATAAATAAAACAATAAAAAGGAAGTGAGAAGAAAATTAAAATTAAATCAAGAAAAAAATTATTCATTTATATATCGGACTTGACCTAGGATAAAACTCTAAGGCCTATGTACTCTTTAAAGATATCAAAGCCCACGTAGTTTGAGAGTAAAAATGCATGTCAGTTTTTAATATTTTTTAGAAAATGAATTTTTTAATTATTTTCTTAAAAAGATTTTTAATTGGATTGGTATCTTTTAATTAAAAAAAGAATTATTTCCTTATTTGAGAATTTAAAAAAAATTAGATTGAAATTCTTATGGAGATTCATAAAATCTCACACAAAAATTAATTTATTTTATACCTAAGGAGATTTTAAAATCTCACACGGCATAGAAATTATTTTTTGACCTATTTATATTTATAAAAAGAAGGCTCATTTTTGTTAAAAAAATGGATAACACAAATCAATTAAGCACTGTGATTGGTATGCCTGCGATAGCCCGTTGCCACATACGACATGCCAATAAACTAATTACCTGTGGAGATTCTAAAAAATCTCACACGGTATAAAAAAAATATACACACACAAAAATCTCAAATCATATGGTGTAGTGTGTATTAGAAAAATATATAATAATATAGGTAATCTTAAAAAGGATCAAACCTTTGGAGCTTTACCACTTATAGTAACTTATGTGATTATTCTAATCATCTCTACTTCAAAGGCGCAAGAAATAACCAGCCAATACATGTGCTTAATTGTACGTGTTTGTATGTGCTTAAAAACCATATATGTGCGTCTATATCTTTCCATGAGTTTGTATAAATCGGATGCCAGTGAAAAGAGATGAAAAGGAATAGGGGGAATCGTACTAAAGGCTCATAAGTAAGCACTAAGTTAACCTTCCCCTCATAGATAACATTAAACCTCTTTACCTCTAAACACAACACGATACCTTTTATATAAAACTTAGGGCTACCACTTAACTAATGTAAAGAACACTAATCACACTATTTCCACTTTAACATTCCAATAATCTTCCAATAAAGTGTATGCCTCTTCATTGCTGTCCTAGTTAAAAGCCATTGCACGTATAAAAGCATTCAAGTCCAACCATGGGTTTGTTAAAAACAAAGAAGATCGCCTTGCAACCACGGGTATGTCTATAAGGGATCAACCATTTGATGACGACTTATAAATACGCAAGTAAAATCATGAGGGGACAACATGGCCAGCCTCAAGATAAAGTGCAGAAGAAAACAAATAAATATAAATAATAAAAAAAGGGGTTGACTTGTCCGAAGCAACAAACTGAAACTAAATGATGAAGAGAATTTCGGGAACAAAAATTTGAAGCTAAATCTTTCAAAATTTGAACCACTACTCAACAAAAATAGGATATTAGCTCAAATTCTGTCTCAAACTTCATCAAAGATCTTAGTATTAATTTATAATTTAAGAAACTTAATCGATATTGATTTTCTTAAAAGATACTGGCTCGTTATTTTTTATCCTTTTCTATAATTAAAATGATTAACTAGGAGGGATGGAGTTTGATTTTGAAAACCTTGCTCTTTAACACGAAGATGTATTAACCATACAATAGTTTGAGAAATTATGAGTATTATTAGTTTAGCAAAGAAATAAAAGGCCGCAAAAAATTAAAAAAGAACTGAGAACAAAGTACTAATACAAATCAAATATGTCACTACAAGAACAGTCCAACATGAAAGCCATAAAATGCTAAAATGATGTTTGTTTTAGGGAGAATGACATTTGATTTTACCGCAATAAGAGCCCATGTGTTTTGCATTGGATATTATCTTATGAAAACAAGTATGTATTATTGTTAAAAGCTGAACCTTAATTTGTTAAATTTCCAAGAAAATCCTTGGAAAAAAAAAAACACAAGTTAAGGGTAAGCTTTTATCAAGTATCAACAACATATACGTATTTTTATAAAATAATACCCGATGCAAAACTTACAGGCTTATTGTAATAAATTCCCTGGAGAGGATCTTAAACGTCATTCTCCCTGTTGTTTTAAAACCTCAATATGAAAAAGAAAACATGACAGACAGCAAGCAGCATTATTTGAACCTGACTCTAGCAATGCAAGCAAACAGCATTACGATGAACGAGCCGAAGGAGCAAACTCAAAGAAGCCAGTCCAAGGAACTGTCGATGGTCATCTTCTTTAATTTGGGATGTTCCTCTCCCCATGCAGCATATGTGTCTTCATCGCAGATCACAGCCTTTAAATTCTTCAGATCCATGAATGAGTCTGGCAATCTTTTTATTGAGGATTTCATTATATACAGCTTTCTTACATTCTTCAAGTGTACAATGCCTTCTGGTAACTCTGTCAAGTTCACACAATCTGAGACGTCAAGAAAGCTTAGCCTCTCAAGTCCTGCTATTGATGGGGGCACTCCTTCGAAGCTGGCACACCTACTAACCCTTAGCAGCTCCAAATTCTTGAGCTTCCCAATTTCCTGGGGCAGTTCAGTAATGCTGTGGCAATTACTGATACTGAGCTTAGTCAAGGTGTTAATATCGCATAGCCCAGCAGGCAACTTCACCAAATCTTTACAATAGTCAATGTTCAACTCCACCAGATTTGACAGTGCTTCTGAAATCAGGATGCAACAGTTTTCAAAAGCCCTCTGTACTTCACAAGTGTAAAGTGATAGCTTGCGTACATTCTTCAGTTCGCAGAAGTAAGGAATTGAAATCTGCTGGAATCTAATTCTTTTAAGGCTCAATAAAGAAACCAGCAGCTCCAAGTTTTTTAGCTCGGTAGGATGGAAACCATAATTCATGACAATAAGAACCTTCAGCTTTCTCATTGTCTTCATGAATTCTGGAAAATCGTATTCTTTAGTCAGAAGATTCAAAACCAGAACCTCAGCTTCAGCTGCTTGAATATCGCACCAAGATGGAGTAATCTTTTGATCTGCATATAAAACACCAAGTGTTGAAGAGGAAGAATGGCAAAGCAATGAAGGCTTTCTGCTTAGTGTGTGTACGTGTATGTGGTTGTGCACATAAATAATATACAAAGAGGAGTGGAACAGAAGCCAAACAAACCTGTTGTTATGGACAATATGCGAGCAGTGATTTCGTGCCGTGGCTGTTGTTGTGGCCACCATTTAGGAATATTATTCTCAATAATGTCAATGACCATCCTCTTCCTATTCTCAAATGTTTCCTGGCTGCTTAAACGGATAGCCAGCGCTCTGAAAAGACCATGCTGTTTGAGGAAGTGATTATTGTAGTACTCGTCTACTATACTTCCAACTTCCCTGGTTAAGTTAGATGTTAATTTAGTTCCAGTTGAACAGAACTTTGAAACTTACTGTAAGAATATATATCAATCTCATGCACGATCTTGTTCAAACCTGTCAAGCTTCGATATTCACATTGACAGGAGATGAGCAAAGACAGTTACACAACAAAAACAAACTATTTATACTTCTAAATTTTATCCCGAGATCCTTATATAAGTAGGATTATAATTTGCATTAAATGGCGGCAAAAATGGTCGGAAATATGTGTACCTTCTAGCTATGATATCAACCGAATTCATGTCCGTTAATTGATAGATGAGGGTCATTGCATGGATGTCATCATCTAGGTTATAAAGTTCAATCCACATGTCAATGAAGGCAGAGACAGGGATGTCTTTGTTTTCGGGAAATAACCCAAGGTCCATGAAGCGCTCATTCATGGACTCATCTTCCAGCACATGCAAGGAGTTTTGGAGACGAGTAAGAAGCTCAGTATGAGAATCAAGAATAGACTGACCTTGCGACCATTCTTTCGCCATTTTTTTCCAAAACACAATCGGTTTTCCATGAAGTTTACGACCGATGAATTCAAGAGCCGAAGGTAAACACTGACAACCTTCAATTATCTGCATTTCACTCAACAAAATAAAAGGTGAGAAACTATTTAAGGTTTTTGGAATCCTGACTGATCATGTCTACTCACAAGTGTGTTTCATTCATTTTTTTTTTTTTGGAGGGGGGGGTGGTGGGGGGGGGGGGCGCTCTGAAACATAATTTCATCAAGTAAAAGGAAGAAGGGAGTAAAGAAAAGCACCTGGTGGAGAATTTCACAGATGTCTTCGTCACCATCATTGCATGATCTGACAATTTCATTTGGAGCAGAGCGAAGTAAAAGGGCTTCTGCATCAATTTTACTAAGTGGTTCCATTGGGAAAGGCATTCCAAACTCTTTAATTTCAAACCTTGAAGTCACCATAATCTTAGAATCTGATGAGATTTGGACCCTCAACTGCTCAACAAGATGTTTTGAGTCAGGCCAAACATCATCTAAGACCAACAGTACTGGATTGTTCCCAAATTTAGACAGTCGATCTTGTAGCTGATTTGCTGCATGTTCATTCCCTTGATTCTGTGAACCCATGGTATGAAATACGATATTGTTCCTGAATTTTTCTAGTCAGAGGACCAAAACAAAGAGTGAGAAACCCAAAAGCATAGCATTTTCAATACAGAAATATTCACACAAATAGTCTTGAAGAAGAAACTATCAAATAATTTATCAACAAACTAAATTATACGAATTTTTTTCCCCAAAATTCTCAGACCCCATCTTGCTATCGCATTTTCTTTGTGACACGAATTATTTTAATTGCTTTCTGTCACCAACTTAGTGGGGAACAGCTTCTCTGTAATTCCTCAAGATTTTAACGTAATGAGATTGTTTGTTTCAGGAAAATAGGGGCAACAGAATATATTGCAAAGCAACAATCCCCACCTCCCCCCCCCCCAAACCAAACAACATACATACATACATACATATAAAAGAATGGGGCTATGATTACCTTTGACTTGCTGATCTAGGCAGAGCTTTTTAGCCAAAGTGGTCTTTCCAGACCCAGCTAAACCAGACAGGTTCAGGACTCGTGGGCCACCAACATTCAGTAACTTAAACTTCAAATTGCTTGCAAAGGTTCCATCCAATCCTACCACAAATTCTGGGAGTTCAAGTGTCGGTTCCCTGTTATCATTACTCCCCTCAGGTGAGATGATTTGTGTATTAGGACTATCATTCAAGCTCAAGGTTAATTTACCCTTCAAATCCCTCTGTATCATCTTCATTTCCCTTGCCATATCAATTTGACCCCGCTGTATCATCTTCATTTCCCTTGCCATATCAATTTGACCCCGCTGTATCATCTTTATATCCCTTGCCACATACATTAGAACCTGACTCGAGATATAGCCTTCCAGTGACTTACGCGCTTCACTAATTTTGTACTGGTAATACGGCGCAAGGTAGAATGTCGACCAGCGGATTTCGGAGCACTTGCGACAACACTCTTGGGCTACAGTGATCATGCATTTCATCTTCCGTATTTCTTCGGTTGGGCCACCCATTTCCTCCACGAGATGTTCGATCTGTTCGACCACTGGAACCAATTCGTTCATGATAGACCGGAGGGTCTTACGAGTGCTTTTATACTTTAAACCCTTTGCCAGGATTTTGGCAGCATATTCAAGCAATTGCAAAACCAACGAAGGATCTACCATCGGTGAATGAATTTCCTGCACTAAATCGCAAATGGCAACTTCAGCGTAGACTGGAGAAGGGAAAGGTTTGGCCGTGCAATACTAATAACGCGCTCAAGTCAACTATTTGTCTTCCAGCAAAGTCTACGTTAATAAAGTTACTCCCCACTCCCACTTTGAGAGGGGTTGATTTTTTTTTTTTATTTGATATAAAGAGGGGTTGATTTTTATTTGTTTGTATTTCTTGTTTTTTGTTGGTTTCTTTTTTTTTTTTTTTGTTTGGGCCCTTGAGCCCCTTCTTTCTACTAAAAAAATAGGTACTCCCCCCTCTCTAAAAATTTTTAAATGTAGGAGGTAAATAATTAATTATAAAGATTAAAACAATTTACTAAATTCATTATTTGTGAATATTGTCATTTTTTCTTGCACTGTTTTCATTGTTTTTTTTTTCATTGTAAATAATTAGTGTGGCATAATTTGTGCATTATATATATATATATAATATTTTGCAAATGTTTTTAAAATAGGTGCAATGGTATAATGGTGCCATAATTTTTTGGAATTCAAAAAGTTGTGTTCTCAAATTCTCTCACTCAACTTATGACCAATAATTCGCTCATTGGCACTCAAGCTCTGGTCACCAATAGCTGGCTAGCTCTGGCGATCATGGGGGAGATTATTTCTTTTAAATGATGGTATTCTAATATATATATATATATATATATATATAAAATTAGTTTTATCTAAAAATACCGTGGGATTATAGAATAATTTGTGTAATTCTCCCTTCTTTTTTTAGCAATAACATTTAACATATACAGATGCAATAGTGACATTTTATAGTCAATTATGTGTGTAATTAGATTAGTGTTTGTCAAATATCAAACTGAAGTTTCTACAAACTAAAATTAAGATTAAAAATTTGTAGTATGATTTATGTTTAAATTTTATTTGAATATAGATAAATTTAGAAATTGATTCTATATATTTTTTTTGGCAAATTTAAGGACTTGAGCACCTCTTCTTAGTTTTAGTAAGGTGATCATCAAAGGTGCCTTATTAAGGATCATAGTATATTTAAAGAGTGAAATAATTATGAGTAATTCTAGAATAAGCTCTTTAATGAAACCTTACTTCTTTTCAAAATATCTTATATTATAAAACATTTAAGTTATCATAAAAAAAATTCTAATAAAATGAAACGGGGAGTTCGTCCAAACTAAGGCACGATGGTGTTAAAAATACTCTATATATGTTAATTTATAAGACACTTTTGGATAAAATTACACTTATTAATAAAACTTATTAAATATACCTTACAACTTTATTTTTTTAAGACAAAAATATAAACTTTTAAAAAAGCTTCTTATAACATCCTAAATTTCAAATTTGGTAATTTTAAGTGTTTAGAAGGGTATATTGGTAAAATTAAGTGAATTTTTTACTAATGATGTTTTTGGAAGACTAATAAAGTTATGAGATTATTAAACAGCTTTAGAAGAGAACTAGGTCAAAGTTCGAGCGAGCTATGGCACGAAGAAAGACATAAAACGTGTCTAGGTACATCACAGCGGACGTGCCAATGTGACGTGAGGTATGTGCAAAATCTGCACTTGGCAAACTCATGAATTAGATTGAAAATCAAAAGTAGGATAAGAGAAATTGTAAGGAGGCGATGAAGAACAGCTAGTGACCACTAGGGCTCAACCTTGGGATTAGTTTGAAAGAATTTGGAGCAAGATTTATCTTTAGGTGACTTCCTACACCTCTCCCTCTCCCTTTATGTGAATTTTCTGACGTTTGGGGTATTATGGGACTTGATTTCAATTGTTCTTAGGCAATGATTGAACCCATTAGCTTAGATAAGGTCTTAGAGAGTCAAATCAAGCTTCTAAACCTAGATTTATGGATTATATAGTGATTTGATGTTTTTGGATATGGTTTGGACGAACCCTAAGTAGAAATTGAGAGATTAAGAGCAATGTGGGCAATAAAATGGTGTTATTTAAGTGTTTGGTGTTAAATATAATTATTGGAATGTGTTGGGAGAGTTAATTAGGCTAAACTAAAGTTTTTTAGTATAATAGGTATCCAAAATTATGTACAAAAATGGGATAATTAGTGTGTGGATTGATGATTAAACATCTAATTTTGTAGATTAACTATTGATCGAGCATTATGGTATTAGTGGATAGGTGTGGAGCCATTATTGACCATGGTAACCCTTTTAGTGACAAAAGGGTTGAGATAACGAGATTGTATGAACTCTCTATTTGTATGTTTGGATGATTGCATGATTACTTTTAAAGCTAATGCTCTTGCTTTGTGTTAGTATAGTATTAATATGAAATGATTATAATTTAAAAACTATGTGAAGTAGAATGACAAGTTATTTTTTAATGCTGTGGATTTTGAAGGCTTAATGTTATTCTTAAGTACAATTACTTGCAAAATCCTATGGGTTAAGTAAAAATATTTATTTTAATGAAAATTATATGTTATGATTATGTTTGGCTTCATTGAGCATTTATTTGGCATGACCATTGTGAGAAGGTAGGAGTTCACCCTAGTGTGTTATTGGGGACATTGTTTGAAAATCCATATGATATACTAGCAACATGGAGGCCTTAGTACACAGTTTATATTATTTAGATAGATTAGACATTGACACCCCTAGTATTTGTAGACAGGGAGAATCTGTGGTCTATGATGGGTGAATGCACTCTTAGCCGGGGCTACTTCTTACTAATGGTAAGCTTAGGCTAGTACAGTCACATGAACTTAATCTTATTGAGTTGTCAGCTCACAGATTTAGTCGAAAGATATAAGAAGGGTATAAGGTAGTGTGATGATCATGCATATCATACTATAACCATATGTGAGGATATATGGCTTGTTATGTGTTTTTAATACCACTTCACATACACACTATCCGTTCTCACACGTGAGAAGTTTGATTAGACTATTAAGTTACTAGGTCCTCCACTCACCCTGTAACAGTCCTCACCCTATCCCACTGAGGGTCTTTTGGATTGGGCTAACCTACATCACTACAGTAGAGGTTGACTTTTTCTAAGGTGGTATTTAGGTTATTCCTCACCCCACCCTCACGGGGGTCTTTTAGAGCCTTCCTAGACTCGAACCCCTAACCTCTACCACCTTAAGGAAGTTGAGGCTAAGTCTAGTCACTAACCTAATAGTACTAGGGTTGGCCATAACTTCCTTAAGGTAGGAGAGGTTGGGGGTTCGATCTCTGGAAAGTTCCAAAAGACTTCTTTAATGGGGTGAGGAACAACCCATGCACTACCATAGAGAAAGTCGCACGTGGGCTCGTGAGGGGACACGTGACAGCAATGCATTCGCCAAAGTAAATGGCTAAGGGCCGTGCTGTTACACACCCATGGTTATATTTTACAGGTGAAGGCTTCGATAGGGGTAAGGAGAAGGAAGGTGTGACCGAGCATCGAGGGGATTAGCTGGCATTCATATAATCCCTCTTCCTTATCTTGGTTTTGTAATAAATTATGTATGCATATTCCAACTAAGGAATCATGTGTTATTTTGAGAAGCATTTACATGAATTTTGTTATAAAGTGAGGTATCCCGGCCTAGGATGTTGTAATTATGTTGTAATGGCTGCGAGAGGTCAAGATACTAGTGCAAGTATTATTTTGTATTGATTTATATGTTTGATTGGCCATTGGAATGACTATTATATGTTTGTTACCCCTTATGGGATTTATGCTAAATTGTGGTTCGAATGGTTAAATTTTGCCTGGAATGCTATTGTTGTGGTTTGAATGCATGAATAAGTTATTTGTGGTCCATTTGAGTTAGTCCAAGTGGTTCTACGGTTATTGGCACTTGGTATGCGATTTTAGATACTTTGGTGGTGGTGTTAGAAACAAAATGTACCATATTAGGTTAGGGTGTCCAAATTTTATTTAGTTTATTGTTTAGGTGTGAGACCGGTGCCAATAGCTAGGTGGCTTTAAGAGTTACTTATGGATGTTTGAATCGCTCAAATCAAACACTGGAGGCGATTTAGTGTGCTTTGAAAGTTAGCCCGGAGTGCTGTTATGATAGCAAGTGCACACCGCAATGCATGATGGTCGTACCACAATGCAATGACCAGTAAGAGCCTTGGCTCTCTGTGCCATTTGCCGTGGCAGACGACACTTGCACCGCAGTGGACGAGGCCAATTTTAGAAAATTCTAGATTAATTTAATTTTTTTAAGTGATGTTAATGATCCCATGCTTTCATTACCTATTCAATTGATTTTGAAATATAGTTTGAGCTCAAATGAATTTTTAAAAAGGGTTTTCCTTAGGATCTCAATTTCTTGAATCTTTTAAAACCTTGAGTTGTGATAACCACTTTAAGGGATTTAAATGTTAGGATTGTCACAACAGTATTTCATGTTTGGTGTCTTGTGTGTTTAGTAATATTGGAGATGACGTTACACTTCTTATTTAATACTCTATTGGTAAAAGAATATTTAAGAGAGAGAATACATAAAAAGGACAATATTGAAAAAGTATCATTGATAAAACTTTATTTTTATTAAAATGTCTTATATTTTAAAATGCTGAATTTCTCCTAAAAGTATCTTAGAATTTGATATAAAGGTAATAGCCTTTTAGAAAGAGAAAATGATCATTAATGATTTAGGTAACAATGACAATTAAGAACATTAAAATTTCAAGCTAGAAATATATATATATATACATATTATTAATAAGAAGATCCAAAACAATTATTGTAAATGTCTGCTTATTCTATGGTTCAAACTTCAAACTGAAAAGGGCCTCCTACTATAACCATTCAATATGTGTGGGAAATACAACACTCATTTTCTGTTGTAGTAATAGTATGTGTGTCAAAAGTCTCACATTACCTAAATGAAGAAAGCTCCTAGTGTATAAATACTAAGGAATGAAATGGGCTTAGAGGAGAAGTAGGCTCGCGTGCACGAAACAAGTCAACTCAAGGCAATTGCAGTTGAAATCAGTCGATTCGGCCCTCCATGCTTGAGTTTAAAAGACACTGGGCTCTTTTTACTGGATTATTTTACAGAAAAATAGATAATTATTTA